AGTCGCACAAAAACGCTCCGAATAAAATCAGGCCAAGACATTCGCTGAATAATTGCTCCCGCTAACGAACAAGCTCATTGCCTCCGAATTCTTACGCCGAGTGGTAGAGAACTTACCCTTTTAAGCCCCTATAGTACTGACTAATCATAGAATAACTACGCCAAACGGTTGAAGACCTTACAGGGCAACCCCGCACAAATTCGTTAACGCCGAGGGGCAGACGATCCGACCTATTTACTGGAGATTCACCCTGTCGCTAAACTGCACACTTGATTCTAAGCAAATTCTAACACAGAATTAAGTTTTTACTAAGTACTGCCGAGTTTAAGTTATGTCATTCAATCGAATAAGCATCGATTGAACGGCACTGGGCATTAGTCATTTGGCTAAACGGGAAGCTCTTTAAGCGCAACTAATCGATCCACGTTGGTCATTAACGGCGCTCTATCAGGCCGTAACGACGAATGTAATTTGCTTCGTTGGTAATGCGACCTTCAGCAGGCTGGCCCCTGATGCAGGATGAATTCATTGTTTAAACTATGCCCATGAAGCTACCATCTGAGAATAATACATCCGCACCTGATCAACCCCTGTTCGTTCGACGAGTGGGCATTATCCTGGGTCTTACCTTGACGGCTCTCTTACTGCTGGGTCTGCTGGGAGCCGCTTTTGATGTGCTCCTGCTGATCCTGGCCGCCACGCTGGTTGCCCTCCCTATGCGGGCTGGAGCGCGGTGGTTGAGTGGGCGAACTAACTGGCCCCAGGGTGTCTCACTGGCCATCGTGGCCCTGCTGACGGTGGGCGTACTGGTCGGGGTAGGCTGGTTTATTACCTCCGCCATCAGGGGGCAACTCGACCAGCTACAGGAGCAGGCTCCCAAAGCCATTCAAAATGCGAAGGAGCAACTTCAGCAGACCAGCCTGGGCAAACGGCTATTAGAGGAAGACATCAAACCCGAAAAACTAATACAGGGTGGATCGTCGAGATGGCTTAGTCGTATTTCGGGGGCGGTATCGGCCACGCTGGGTGTCCTGGCAAACCTTTACGTGGTCCTGTTTCTGGCCGCTTTTTTGGCGGCTCAACCAGGTC